GGGGGATCATTTCTTGCTTTCTATCTCTCTGTTTCTTTCTGTCTTTCTGGCAAGCGTATGCGCCTTATAGCAAAAACCTCTCAAAAAAAAAAGAAAAAGCTTGAGTGAATTAACAAAATATTAGAATGACAGTTGTTTAAGTAGCACTAACAAGTGAAGTCACTGTGAATATTTAATTTATTTATTCATTCATTTCTTTTAATTTGGCCAGAGAGAGAGAGAGAAAGCCGCCAAGTCTGGAACTCGAATCACGGTCGGCCATGTGGGAGTCCAGAGCCCTTAACCACCACGCCACCTTCCTGCCTCATTTCTACTCTTTATGAACACACCAGAACTCTGTTGTTGGGAGCCCTTTGCTTACACCCAAAAGCCCCACCCTGGGACACCATGAAGGAATTAAGTTTCCACTTAACACTCTAACAATATAATCAAATCATGACACATACATTTCTGGGGAACATTCAGTCACTGCCCACTAAGATCAAATTTCAAAAACATGAACCTTTGTGGGGACAAACCATTATTCAAACCACAACAATGCCACCTCTACTCTCAAGATAAATGCTCCTGCTCAAAGTCACAGGGGGCCTGGGGTCAGTGCTGGTCCTGCTCTGGGTGTAAGGATGAGCATCCATGGCCAACACAGTGCCCTCTTTCTGTAGCCCAAACACCCTAGTTCCTTGGCAGCCATGTGACCCTTGTTCTGCTGTGGAGACCAGGAGTGAAGGCCCCTTCTAAGGCTAGTGTCTGAGGGCCTGACTATGATGACACTGAGGTGCTGTCATTGAGGGGACATCTGCTACGCCTGCTCCTGGTGCTGACCCTGGTATTCCAGTCCTGGGCTATGACCAATTGCTGCAGTGTGCCCCACAATTGGCACACAGGCCTGGAGATGGGCCACACCCTGCTCACTGACACTGCCAACTTGGTGGCCCCAAGTCTTGGGATAAGAGCATAGAAAGGAGGTTCTAGTTCACTTTGACCTTGGCTTTGTTTCAGCTTATGAATGGGGAAGACTCGAATGGCTGGAATTTATAACCTAGAACCAGTTATTGAATATCTTCATAGAACAGTACTATGGGAATTTGAGCACTTTTTTGTGCTTTTCCATTTTTGGTCTTTAAAAAATGACTTTAAAATCAGGACTAGATGGTGGCCCAACAGTAAAATGACATGCCCTGCAAGACTGGCCTATAGGGGAGGTTCCAAGTTGGCATCCAGAGACCTCCCTGAACATGCTGGATGTGTGCATGTCCATGATCCAGGGGGTGGGTGGTGTGTGACCCTGTGGGGAACACCTATCTCTGTTTCTCCTCTCCCTCATGGAAGAAGTAATTAAGCAGCCACACCGCAATCCCTTCTCTTCCATTCTCCTCTCAGGATCTTGGGCATGCATGCACATGAGCCTGGAGTGTTTTTTTTTTTAATTATTTTATTTATTCATTTATTTTAATTTGACCAGGGAGGGACAAAGAGAAGAGAGAGAGAAGGAGAGAGAGAGAGAGAGAGAAAAGCAAGCCACCAGGTCCGGGACTTGAACTGTGGTTCGCCCTGTGAGTGTCCAGCATCTTAACCACAACGCCACCTGCTGGTCCTGCCCAAAGTGTTTTTAGCCCGTGGTATGGGACTCAAACTGCAGTCAACTATGTGGGAGTCCAACAATATAACCATTGTGCCATCTGCTGGTCCCAAGTAAATACGTTTTTTTAAAACAAATTAGTTTTACTTTTTTTTTTCTTTATTCATGATAGAGTGCATGCTTGCACATGGAGATTGAGAGAAGGGAACACCCTCCACAGGGTCTGGTCACACCGTGATCCTTTTCCTCCAGTCCTTCAGTCCATCAGATCCTGGGCACTCATACGCATGCCTGGTGTGTTTCAGGCTAAGCTCGGGATTTGAACTGAAGTTGTCACGTGGAATCCAGTTTCTCTTTGCTCAATAAATTTTCACTTCACCACAGAGATGGCCCTAAATAAACCTTTTTTCCTTCTATTTTTGGTATAGGACATATATACTCACCAGAGAGACATAGAGAAAGTGAGAGGGACCAGCAGGTGGCGTGGTGGCCAAGACACTGGACACTCCCACATGGCCGACCACAGTTCTAGACCTGGTGGCTTGCTTTCTCACTTTCTCTCTCTCTGGTCAAATTAAAATAAATGAATGAATATATAAAATTAAATAAATAATTCTTTTTAAAAAATGCATTGCGGGGGGACCAGCAGGTGGCATGGTGGTTAAGGCACTGGACACTCCCACATAGCCATACACGGTTTAAGTCCTGGACCTGGTGGCTTGCTTTCTCACTTTCTCTCTCTCTGGTCAAATTAAAATAAAATAAATGAATAAATAAATAATTCTAAAAAAAAAATGCATTGCAGGACCAGCAGTTGGCATAATGGCTATGTCTCTGGACTCCCACGTAGTCGACCGTGGTTCAAGTCCTGGGCCCTGTGGCTTAAACTCACAATGGGTGAGTGTGTGTGTGCGTGTGCGCCCAAGACCCCAAGAGGAGAACAGAGAAGGGATTGCAGCATTGCCAACCCCCCTCGGGGCTGCGGGGGGAGTGATTTCTTGCCTTCTGTCTCTGTCTTTCTGGTGAGCACACACATCCTATAGCAAAAAACTCTCCAAAAAATGTATTGGACAGAAAGACATTTAAAAAAAGAGAGAAAAGTGTGAAATCAGTCCTCAGCCACACAATCCCTTCTCCTCCTATTTCCTCTCGGGATTACTTTTTGGCACGCACACACATGTGCCTGACGTGATCCTCAAGCCATTGGGTCTGAGACTTAAACGGTGAAGCTGGCCAAGCAGGATCCCGTGCCTTAACTTCCATGCCACCTACTGGCCTATAAATAAACTTTAACACATACGTGCATACACACGCATTTGTTTATTTGTTGTGACTTTCCGAGCCACCTGTTGGCCCCTGTAAATAAATTTAAAAAAAAATTACTTAAGTCGTGTAACTGGGGCCAGCAGGTGGCGTGGTGGTTAAGGCGCTGAACACCCACATGGTCGAAGACCATTTGAGTTCTGGACCTAGCAGCTTGAAAGTCACACTGGGTAAGTGTGTGAGAATGTCTGGAATCCCGAGAGAATGGAGAGAAGGGATTGTGGTGTGGCCATTCCCCCTGAAGGGTGATTTCTCACTTTCTCTCTCTGTCTCTCTCCAGCAAGCACACAAGCCCTATGGCAAAAACCTAAAACAAAAATAAATTATGTAGCTTTCTAGATTGCAGATACAACTGAAAAGTTAAATACTCTATCTTTCCCACTGATTTGATTTGAACAATCACATTTATCATGAATTCACAGGAACACTTAGGGATGTTTCTGTATTCTTTTCCTCATTCCAATAATTTATTCTTGTGCAAATAATACCTATTTTTGCTCATATTTGAGTTTTTTTTTTTTTTTCCCACAGGGTGTGTGTGCTCACCCCATAGGGTCAGAGATAGAGGGAAAGTGAGAAATCACCCCCCAGAGGGATGGCCATGATGCAATCCCTTCTCCATTGTCCTCTCTTTCTGTGATTTTGAACATGCATGCACATATGCCTGGCATGATTTGCAAGCTGTTGGATCCTGGACCTGAACAGTGGTCCGCCATGTGGGAGTACAGAACCTTAACCTCCTTACCACCTACTGGCCCCCAGTGCTTGAATTTTTGATTCTCTAGTACATTACATATGAATTTTAAATTTCTAAGTTCCATTGAAAGAATCCTTAAGAATGGCAGTGAATTTAAGGATTCCAAGAATCAGCACCTTGGGCTAGCCCCTGGTGGTTAAGGTGGCTGGATCCCATAGGGATGACTACATGGTTCAAGTTCCAGATCCAGAGCTCAAAAAACACATTGGGCACATGTGTGTGGTGTCCCAAAAGGAGAGAGAAAGGATTGTAGCATGACCATGCTCCATAAAGGGACACTTTCTCACTTTTTCTCTCTCCCTCTGGTGAACACACTTGCCCTCTGGCAAATTAAAAAAAAAAAAAAAAAAACAAAGAATCAACCTCTTTTAGAATCTTTCCAGCTATATGGCATGAATCCCAAACATAAGGTATAGGTCTCCATTTACTTAAGTCTTATTCTTCAAGCCAGAGAGATAATTTTCTGCATATAGGTTTTACACATTTCTTGTGAGGTTTATTCTTTGTAGCTTATAAATTTTGTTGTGAATAGGAACTTTTTTTATCCTGAGTATATTTCCAAATTTGTTATTGTAGTATACAGACTAATTTTGGGCTTCAGGTTTAACTATAATATAAAAGGATAGATGTAGAATTGCTCAGTAAAAGGCTCCCACGGTCAAACAAGCATGGGCTAAAAAAGGCTAAATAGATTTGCTCATTGCAGGACTTAGCAATGCCTTTATCAGTCTGGATGACCAATTGCCAAGAGCACAGGGACATTCCTCTACTTACGTGGTCATGGAATCTTTTGTCAAAAGACATTCTGAAACATATTTTGGAAAACAATTCATTGAAAGACCCTTCGAGTTTCTAGTCTTTCAATCTATGAGGTTCAATCCCCACTGAACCTCATCTGATGTCCAAACTCCCACCCACTCGCCCTTCAACCAGGACACAAAAGACAACCCAATGTCAAACTGAATGCTTTAATGAGTGTTGCTCAGAGAGAATCACCTCTCACAGCAGCTTCTGGCCTTCACTGTCTCAGCTCTTAATTGGGGCACAGGTGGGCTGGATGCCCAGGGTTGGGGATTTGGAGTCAAGAGTGAGTTAGGCAATGGGACCAGCAGATGGCATAATGATTACATTGCTGGACTCCCACGTAGTTGACCATGGTTGGAGTCCTGGACTTGGTGGCTTCAAACTCATGTGGGGTGTGTGTGCGTGCATGCCCAAGATCCCCAGAGGAGAATGAAGAAGGGATTGCAGTGTGGCCATCTGAAGGGGAGAGGGGAAGGGATTTCTTGCTTTTTGTCTCTCTGGCGAGCGCATGCTCCCTATGGCAAAAATCTCTCTCTCTAAAAAAAAAAAAAAAAAAAAAGGTGAGTTAGGCAAAAGAGGTTCTGGACTCAACCCTGTGAAGGCTGGGTTCCTGGGAGTATAGTGGAGGAGGCAATAGCTTCAGGCCGGCCCCTCTTCAGGCATTCCAAGCAAAGCTACAAGGGGCTCCAGGGGCGTGGAGGTCCCAACTGGCATGGGGTGGGTGCGTTCATGCTTGCGGAGGTCGCTAGCACTCAAGAATGCCTTGGGACAGTGGGGGCAGGTGTAGGGGCGCACAGAACTGTGGGTGCGGCTGTGTTTCCGCAGCCCAGCCCGATCTGAGAAGCTCTTGCCGCACTGGGTGCAGGGAAAGGGCCGGAGCTCAGGGTGGGAGCGCTCATGCCGACGCAGCAAGGTCAGTGTGGAGAAGGTCTCCTTGCACTCACGGCACACGAACTGTGGTGGCTTCTCATCAACCTCTTCGCTTCCCTCTTCACCAGCTCCTCCCAAGGGACCAGGAGCCTCCCCACCTGCATCCTGGCACTCCACGTGCTCCACCGTCATGCCCACCACTTGCCACTGTGTAGCCATCACACCCCCCGATTCTGGGGGCAGCCCCAGCAGCCCTGCTGGGGGGTCTACTAGCCCTGTACCTGCTGGCGGAGTAGCTGAGCTCTCGCCAGCCACGCCCACGGGCAGTGCCAGCCCTACCACCAGCTCCGGCTGTGCGGGAGCCCCTGTGGCCTCGCTGCTCCGATGGGTTCGCTCATGCTTCCGCAAGCTGGATGATACCACAAAGGATTTCCCACAGGCGTTACAGTGAAAGGGACGCTCACCCGAGTGTACCCGGCTGTGCTTAGTGAGACTGGCCCGCTCAGCGAAAGCTCGTCCACACTCCTCACAGCGGAAGGGCCGCTGGCCGGAGTGCACCAACGCGTGCCGCTTGAGGTCCCAAGAAGCCACAAATGTCTTGTCGCACTGCAGGCACTTGAACGGACGGTCGCCCGTGTGCACCCGCCGGTGCATAGCCAGGTCGGCCGGCTGTCGGAAGTCCTTGCCGCACTTCTCGCAGCGGTAAGGCTTCACGCCCTCGTGCGCCCGCTGGTGGCGCCGGAAGCTCGAGGGGTCAGAGAACATGCGGCCGCATCGCGGGCACAGGAAAGGCTTCTCGCCGGAGTGTGTGCGTTCGTGGCTCTGGTAGGAGCTGAGCTGCGTGAAGCCCTTGCCACAGGCCGGGCAGCGATAGGGCTTCTGCGCCGCATGGATGCGCTGGTGGCACGTAAGAGAGGACGAGCGGGAGAAGCTCTTCCCGCACTCGGAGCAGAGGAAGGGACGCTCGCCTGTGTGGGACCTGCAGGAGTGTGGAGGACAGGCATGAAGATGACAGACTCATAGCCTAACCCCAGCTGCCTGATCTGGCTGGAACCTAGAAGCCCCCTAAGCATCCCAGGTGGCCTCATCCCAATTCCCTAAGACCCGCGGGGCAGCACCCAGTGTCAGAAACCTTCAGGCTGAGTGTCTGATTCCAGATAAGCCTCCTCTGCTCTCAAAGGCCGAGACAGACCCCACTGACAACTCCTGGGCTCTGCCAAACACCCTCTGAGCTGCCCAACTTCAAACGTTTTCCCCTTGCCAGCTACCAATCTGACCCCCTCCTGTCCTCAGGGCTCCATCTCTAGGTGGTCAATCCCACCCCATGCCCCACCCTGTCCAATCAGGGACACCAACTTCTCTCACGTGTCCAGGCACTCCCGATGGATCAGCCCCCACTCCACTAAGTGCCTAGATCTTCAAAAAGTTTACGGAAAATGTATATCATGAAAAGACTATACATGGATTTAAACTTTTTTTTTTGGGGGGGGGAAGAGGTTGTTATAGAGCATGTGCACTCGCCAGAAAGAGAGATAGAAAGTGAGAAATCACCCCCCAGGGGAGATGGCCATACCACAATCCCTTCTCCTTCATTCTCTTGGGATCTTAGGCATGCACGCATAGGCGCCCGGAGTGAGTTTAAGCCAACGTGTTCTGGACTCGAACTGCAGTCAACTATATGGGAGTTCAGCAACATAGCCATTACGCTAACTGCTGGTCCCTGGATTTAAACTTTTCACGCCCTAAGAACGCGTAGTTCAATTCCATTTTCCCACAACTTTGAAGTCCCTTCCAACAGCAGCTGCAGCTGCCCCTGCCCGGAAGGCGCCCTCACCGCTCATGGTTGCGCAGGTCCTTGAGCTCGGCGTAGGCTTTGCCGCAGCGCTCGCAGCCGTAGGGCCGCAGGCCTGCGTGCGTGCGCCGGTGCTTGCGGAAAACCGACGGGTCCGCGAAGCTCTTCCCGCAGTCTGCGCAGGCGTAGGGCCGCTCGCCTGTGTGACCGCGCTGGTGGATCTTGAGCTTGGAGAGTGCGCCGTAGGCCTTGGGGCAGTGTGCACAGCGAAAGGGCAGTTCGCCAGCATGCGAGGCCAAGTGCACGCGCAGGCACACGGGCTGCATGAAGCGCCGTCCGCATTCGGGGCATGGGAAAGGCTTTTCGCCTGTGTGGCTGCGCCCGTGGCTGCGTAGCTCTGGGGCGGTCTTGTAGGCCTTGGGGCACAGCGGACATGCGTAGGGCCGAGGCTTAGCAGCTGAACCTGATACCTTGTCCCCACTGGCTTCCTCCGCCTTAGATTCTGTCTCTGGCTTTGGCTTCACCTCAGCCTCGTCTGCACAGTCTGCAGGCCCGTGTGTGGCAGCATGGCGTGCTGCCCTGGGTGCATTTGGGAACGTCTTCGTACAGGACAGGCACTTGTAACGGCGGCCAGAGCGCTTGTAGCCAGGGGCTGGGGACCTGTCCTCAGCAGCCTCCGCCTCCATGGCCTTGGTGGGCGGGACTTCTCTGTAAGAGAAGCAAAGTTAGACCAAAGCTACATCCCTTCCCACTCTTCAAGGTCTTTCTCCTCACCAAAGTCTTCCTTCAAGGTCTCAGATTAAGCCCTATCCTTTTTTAAATTATTATTTTTAATTTGCTAAAGGCATGTGTGCTCATCAGAAAGGAAAAAGAGGGAGAAGGCAATCCCTTCCCCATTTCTCCTTTCAGAATTCCAGGCACACACACATACATCGTGGGCATGTTTCAAGCATTTGGTCCCAAACTGCAGTCTGCCTGCCTGTAGGATCTAGCAGTCTTCCCCGCCAGGCCATCAGCTGGCCCCAGAGGATCCTCTTATCTGCATTTCCCACCAATGCTGCTCAGCCACACCCTTCCTGCCAAGCATTCCTGGCTCTGACATCCTGCATTCAAGTTTCCTCTCTGATTTGTTCAACAACAAGGAATTTGGCCAGAGGTGTCTGCAGATACAGCATAGGGTCACAACCTTCCTAACCTCTGGGCTTCTTCATACTGAGTGGCATTCCTTCATTCCTGGAAGGTTCAGGCTCTATGTGTCACCATCTTCCTTCTTTCAGCTCAGTGTCCAAGGTCTGTGCCAGGATGCAGGGTCTTGTGGAAGGCAGCAGAAACAGAGGGTAGGTACCCAGATGTGGCCCTCTGCCTGGACTCCCAGTGCCCAGGGAAGACAGACTTGGACCCAGAAGGGGGCAGAGTCAATGGGGCTAATGTGAGTGACACTATATGGAAGTGACAGGTTCTCAGTATTATGTATCTTGTCTTTCCCTTCTGGTTGGGCAGCTCTCAGAAACAGCAACAGTTGACACAGAAGTCTGGCCTTGCATAGCTGTACGGCACTCCACCCCAGACAGGAATCCTGATCCACCCTTTGCTCTGGAATCCCCCTTCGGACTCCTGCTCCCGTAACTCTGGTAATAGGCAGCTCGCTCTCTCTGAAGGCAGCCTGAGCCACTGCTAGCAGTTAGAAGCCTCTTTTTGAGTCACAATCGAAGTATTTCATCTAGAGTGACCTCCTGGACCACGAGCTCTGGCTGAGGTCTCTACCTTCTGATCCAGAGTCCAGACACCCTCCACCCAGCTGCTCCTGGGGATCATGATTGGGAGGAAATAGGATTAACGGCTGCATTAGTCTTAACACCAGCTCATCCTCCCTGGGGGATGAAGAGAAGAGGATTATGGAAGATCCACTTAAGGAGTGCTCAGCAGCTGCTGCTGTGGGGGAGGGCCTGGGGGGTACAGGAGAGCCAGGTGTGCCCAAAGGCTAGGAGGCCTCGGTCTTATTTCCAGTTGTGGATAACTTTACTATGAGACTGGTGAACTTAATGGTTATAGGCCTGTTTCCACATCTGTACACTTCAGGGGTTGCTGGCTTCTACATCAGTGAGGAGGATGATGGAGCTGAGCTGAGCCAGAAAGGTGTTGGAGGAAATGCAAATAGAGGCTCAGGGCTCCCCACTCCAGGAAAGGGCTTCAAGAAGCTTACAGTTGACTGAGGGAGGACACAAGAATCTCTGGGATGAGTCAAGGGCTGCATCCTTGAAGTCAGCACCCTGCTTGAAGGCCCCACCTCAGTACTACCGACTTCCCTCCCCGCTCCTGCCTGCATGCAGCCAATCTCCTTAAAGTACCATGTGATGCTCCTTGTCCCATGCTAAAGAATTTTCCATGGTTCCCATTATATCATGAAAGTTCCTAGTCTTTCTTGATTGTTCCAAATCCTATCTGTCTTTCATTTGAACCCCACTTATCCTAGGAAGCATGTCCTGCATCTCCCCTCTGGGTTTTGGTCCCAGTCCCACACAACTCTGTTCTATGCTAAGTGTACTTTTCAGTTTTCTCCCTGAGTCAGCAGGCTTGAATTCTAATCTTGCCGATTGCTTGAATTCCTCCTACAGTGCCCAGGAGATCCCTCCCTGTCTCTGGATGAAGCATTCACTACCCTTCCAGACCATCTCTGGAGAGTCTACTGATAACATTTCTCTCTTTTTTTTTTTTAAAGATTCTTCTTTTTTTTTTTTTTATAATTATTTATCTTATTTTATTTATTCATCATTTTTTAATTTGACCAGAGAGAGACAGAGGTGAGAGTGAGAGAGAAAGTGAGAAAGCAAGCCACCAGATTCAGGACTCAAACCCTGGTCAACCATGCGGGTGTCTAGCACCTTAACTACCATGGCACCCGCTGGTCCCTACATTTCTTCTTAATAAAAACAATAGCTCTGGGACCAGCAGTTAGCGTAATGGCTATGTCGCTGGACTTCCATGTAGTCGAGCGTGGTTCATGTCCTGGACCTGGTGGCTTAAAACTCACACAATGCGTGTGTGCCCAAGATCCCGAGAGAAGAACGGAGGAGAAGGGACTGCGGCGTGGCCATTCCCCTTGGGGGTGATTTCTCGCTTTCTGTCTGTCTCTCTTTGTCTGGCTGGCGAGTGCACACGCCCTATAGCAAAAACCTCTCCAAAAAACAAAATAAAACAAAACAATAGCTCACATTTTTTAAGTACTTGCCAAATACCAGGCAATATCCTAAATTCTTTATAAGTATTATCTCGCTTACCCCTTCACGCCAACATAAGAAAAACTATTTTATTTCCTTTTCACAGATAAGGGAACCAAGGTCTAAAGAGATGATGTAGCACTGTGGTTTAGTGCACAGCCTCTGAAGCCAAACTGTCTGGCTTTGAGTCTTGCCACCATCATTTCCTAATTGATATGATATGAAACTTGTGTAGTTTACTGAATTGACTGCATGTCTTAGAATCTCAGTTTTGTGTTTTCTTCAATCAAAGGGTGTGCGCACTGGCGAGAGAGAGAGGGAGAGAGAGAGGTCATGCTGCAATCTTTTTCCCTCCATTTTACTGTGCCATCACCATCAGGATTTGGGGCACACATGCCTGGCATGTCTTTCCAGCTGCTAGGGCTAAGATTTGAACTGGAGTTGGCCATGTGGGATCCAGCTCCTAATACATGGCACTTAACCACTGTGCTACGCAGGGCTGATCCTAGAATCTCAGTTTTCTCATCTGAAAAATGGACATCATCAGTACTGATCTCATAGGGTTGGGTGAAGACTGACTGGAACAAGATTAATTACTGCACGTCTCAAAGTCAGACACTTTGCTGGACATGCTACCTTTTTTACTTGTCTCATAGCTTCCTGAGATAGGGAATACTGTCCCCATTATACAGATGAAAAAAAAAAAAAAAGAGGTTCCCAGAGTTAAATGACTTGCCCACAGTCACACAGCTAGGAACTCATGCCGCTGAAACTTGAATCCAGATGTTGCCTTAAGTGGTTGAGCTCTTCCTCAGTGGTCTGAGGCCTCCCTGACCTGTCTGGGCCTTGCCCAGCCCCACTGTGACCAGAAAGTGAGTCCAGGTGGCACCTGTGTCTTCTCTCTTCCCTGCGGAATAGCCTGACACTGGAGCAAGCATTCTTCATGTCTCTGTTAACCTTTCAGAGGGCTGGAACCACCAGTTCTGAGCTCTGGTTCCTACACTGTCCTTTGTCATCTCTGGGCCTCAGTCTTCCTATCTGTGAACAAGAAAGCGGGCAACTGGAGGGGCAAATCCCTCCTCCTAAGGTACTTTCCAGGGGAAAAGGAGTGCCAGGTTGATCCAAGCAGGTACCCATCTCCAAGAAGAGTGGAGGGCCAGGCAGGCTAGGCCTGTGTCTAAAATCCACTGGTAAATCCTCATGTCACTGTTCACTGAGGACTCTTCCACTCACCATCCCCTGGAGTGATATTTCTCCAAGTGAGGTCTCTGAACACCCCCTGCATCAGAATCATCATTCTGGCAGCCTGAAGTAGGACTGAGGAACCTGTATGTTAATTAACTCTCTGGATCATTCCAAAGAACACTTAAGAATTAAACAGACATTATGAGGTCTTCACAGCCTACTAGAAAAGAAGCTTTTTTTTGTTTGTTTTTTGGAGAGGTTTTTTGCTATAGGGTGCATGCGCTTGCCAGAAAGACAGAGAGAGAGAGAGAGAGAGAGACAGAAAGCGAGAAATCACCCCCAGGGGGGATGCCCATGCCACAATCCCCTCTCCATTCTCCTCTCGGGATCTTGGGCACACACGCACACACGCCCGGCGTGAGTTTAAGCCACCAGGTCTAGGACTCGAACCGCGGTCGACTACATGGGAGTCCAGCGACTTAGCCACTATGCTAACTGCTGGTCCTGAAGCTTTTTTTTTTTTTTAAGTTTTGTCATAGGGTGTGTGTGCTCACTGAAGAGATGCATAGAAAGAGAGCGATAAAGTGCAAAAATAATCCCCTGGGAGGATAGCCACGTTGCAATCCCTTCTCCTTCAGTCTCATTTTGGGCACACACGTATATGTGCTTGGCATGTTTTCAAGCCTCTGGGTCTGGGGTGCAAACCGCTTAGTCAGCCACATGGGATCCAGCCGCCTAAACCACCATGCCACCTGGTTGGCCCCAAAAGAGGCATTTTTACTGTATCTTTTTTTCAGATGTGGAGATTAAGATTCCTATAAGGAAAAAACTTACACAGGACACATAGCGAGTAAAAGACCCAGATTCAAACCTGAGTCTTCTTGAGTTGGGTTTTTCCTGTACCAGTCTTCACTCTCTCAAGGTTTATTAGCCAGATCATGAGACCTCAGATTACCCCTAAGTCAAAGACCAGCATCTTTTCTGTGGCCTCACAGGGCTCTGAGTCACCTAACTCCTGCCTAGTTCACCTCCTATGTCTCCCCCCACACACACTCAGCTCCTGCCGCCCATGCTCCCTTGCTTTTCTTCAAACAGCTCAATTCCTTCCCACCTCAGGGCCTTTGTACTAGTAGCTCCCTCTGTCAGAATCACTATTCCCCTAGGACCTTGGTGTAGTTGTCTATTCAATGACAAAAAAAAAAAAAAGAGAGAGAGAGAGAGAGAAAGGAAGCGTCTGTGTCCAGAACCATGGTTAGCCATGTGGGAGTCTAGTGCCTTAACCACTATACCTGCTGGCCCCAGCTACACCTCCCCCAATCACTTTTTATCGCCTCTTCTTTTTTCTTTTATAGTATCACTTGGATAATACTCCCTATAACCTTACCATAGGCCAAGTGTCATTTTTTTTGGAGAGGTTTTTGCTATAGGGCGCGTGCGCTCGCCAGACAGACAGAGAGAGACATAGAGACAGAAAGCGAGAAATCACCCCCCAGTGGGGATGGCCACGCTGCAATCCGTTCTTCTCCGTTCTCTTGGGATCTTGGGCATGCACGCACACACGCCCGGCGTGAGTTTTAAGCCACCAGGTCCAGGACGCGAACCACAGTTGACTATGTGGGAGTCCAGCAACATAGCCCTTACGCTAACTACTGGTCCCGGCCAAGTGTCATTCTAAACATTTTATGTATGATACTCAAGACTCAAGCTAACCTCGGGACCAGCAGTTAGCGTAATGGCTATGTCGCTGGACTCCCACGTAGTCGACCATGGTTTGAGTCCCGGACCCGGTGGCTTGAACTCACGCCGGGCACATGTGTGTGCATGCCCATCCCCCCTGGGGGGTGATTTCTCGCTTTCTGTCTCTCTGTCTCCCTCTGTCTGTCTGGCGAGTGCACGCGCCCTACAGCAAAAACTTCTCCAAAAAAAAAAAAAGACTCAAGCTAACCTTACAACACCTAGAAGCTGGTTATGGACTATGTCACACAGTGTCCTCTCCAAACTAATATATTGAAGTCCTATATCTCATTGTGACTGTATGTGAAGACAAGGCATTTACAGAAGTAATTAAGCTAACCTTAATTATTTGGGCCATCAGTTCTGAGTTCTGGTTCCCCTTTGCCAACTCTGGGCCTTAATCTTCCTATCTGTGAACCAGAAAGCAGGCAGCTGGATGGTAAATCCCTCCTCCTAAGGTATTTCCCAGGGGAAAAGTTGAAGTACAACGCTGGTCCAAGCAGTCACTCAGCCCCAGGAAAAGTAGAGGGTAGGCTAGGCCTCTGTGAGGTCATAAGGTAGGTCCTACTTCATCTACTAGGATTAGTGTTGTTAAAAAAAGTGCCATCAGGGAACCAGCAGTTAGCGTAATGACTATGTCGCTAGACTCCCACGTAGTCGACCGCGGTTCGTGTCCCGGACCCGGTGGCTTAAAACTCACGCCGGGCGCGTGTGCGTGTGTGCCCAAGATCCCGAGAGGAGAATGGAGGAGAAGGGATTGCGGCGTGACCATCCCCCCTGGGGGGTGATTTCTCGCTTTCTGTCTCTATGTCTCTCTCTGTCTGTCTGGCGAGCGCACGCGCCCTACAGTGAAAATCTCTCCAAAAAAAAAGAGTGCCATCACAGGGCCAGCAGGTGGTATGGTGGTTAAGAAACTGGACTCCCACATGGCTAACCATGGTTTGAGTCCTGGACCTGGTGGCTTAAAAATCTCAGTAGGTGGGGCTAGCAGGTGGCGTGGTGGTTGAAGCACTAGACCTCCACATGGGTGACCATAGTTCGAGTCCTGGACCTGGCAACTTGCTTTTCCATTTTCTCTTTCTCTCTGTCTCTGGTCAAACTGAAATATAATAAGAATAAAATTAAATAATTATTTAAAAAAAGAAATGAAGGAAGGAAATCACATTGGCATGTGTGCATGTATGCCCAAGATCCCAGAAGAGAATGGAGAAGGGATTGTGGCATGGCCATCCCCCACCCCACCCCCCCAGGGGGATGCTTTCTCACTTCCCTTCTCACTGTTTTCCTGTCTCCAGGGAGCACATGTGCCCTATGGCAAAAGCCTAAAAAGAAGTAACATCACAGAGAAGCAAAGTAACTAGTCGTGGTCATGGCCAGTATTCAAAGTCAGGTGGTCAGACTCCCAAACTTCTACTCTGTCCTGACGACTAATTTGCTAGCACTTGTATATTTTACGGTTTGATTGTTAATTTTGTCTGTAGCACCAGAGTCCAATCTGGTAAAAAGCCAAGAAACTTGATTATGTGCACCCTTTACACCCGCGACTCCATTTGATGACCCCAAACAAACAATAAGTCAACCTCAGGCAGAATTCCAACACAAGTCTACAGCCTCTGTCTTCCCCATGTATGAGTTTGTGAGAATGTCAGAAACTATTAACTGAATTTTCCACCATTCAAGTTCACAAGGTTCAAATATCACCCAAATAGCCCAGTGGGGTCACTGTTGTGAAGGAGCCTTGTCTTTGCTTCACTATTGGCTTAGGAGGAGAAGGAAGTTCTATTATATACCTAGGAATGCAAAGGTTCAATTTCCAAAAAGTTTAGGCAGGACCCTGGAGAAAAGGGGTAAGGTGAAAAGGCGGCTTTGCAGGCCATGGAAAATGTGAGGCGCAGGTAAGTGCTAATTATCTCCTAGGCCTCCAACCTGGTCAGTTCACAACCGGATCCCAACCTACTTTTCCAGCCTCAGTTCTGGCAGCAGGGTCCCTTTTGGACACCAACTTAAGCTTCAGCCACATTTCTCAAACTTCCCATCTCCATAAACAACTTCCTTTGCCTTGGAACCCTTGCTTGGCTTCTCCCATGGGAAAACTCTTTCGTATCCTTCAAATACCTCTTCCCCAACAGTAATACTTAGTGGGCAGTAGAAGTAAGGACCCCACGGAGCTCAGGGCTTCAGTTTTTTCATCAGTAAAACGAAGCCCCAGAAACGTGGGAGTTTGAAAGGCGTTAGGGCTTTCCAAGATGCGCTGAGGAGGATGGAGAACTGCAGAAACCCACTGCTTCCAACAACCTATGTGCCCCGTTATACAGGCAGCCCCCGCAGGGCAAGGAACTGGGTTGGCTCGTCATAGAATAAGACCTTGGAAAACGCGGCCTCGGAGAACTTGGCAAGAAGGAGTGAACAAAAAATGAGGGAATGAAAAAATGAATGGACGCAGGGTACAATGCGGGACAAAGGCCTGCAAGATGGCGTTCTTTAGGACCGCGGGAGGGGCGGCCAGGGCCTCGGCCGGGGAGGGGGCCACAGGCGCAGGGGACCTCGCTAGGCGGGCAGCAGGGCTGGGACAAAAGCCCGAAACATGGCTGGCTTTAGGACCCCAGGGCCCGCACCGCGTAAGGCCGGCAGCCTCAATCGCAGAGCCCAGGCGTCCGCAGCAGCGGGCCGGAGGGGCAGGCCGCGGGGTGTACGAAGCTC